GAATAACTGTATTTTAGTATTTTCTACTTTGCATTTCAACAACAATTGTTGCAAAACACACAAATTATTGATACAAATTTTATGACTATAAAATTGGTGATACATATCAAAAATTGAATTTTAACAACACATATATTATATTTACAGATGACAATAACACAGATAATAAAAACAACCACAAAAAAAATGGAGAGATTAATTGTTTACTTATGTGAAGAAAAGATACATAAAAATAGTCGAAAAGAAACCTTTTAATGTTTCCTTTTTTTTTCTTCTGCTTACCAAATTTTTTGCATTTATTACGATTCTTTTTTTATGGCTGTATCAAAAACAAAAAAAAAAAAAAAAGAAGGATAAAGTTGTAGAATAGCGTAAAAATACACTAAGAAACAACACTTAGTTCAAAGTTTAAGCCTGGAATGTTTGATCACTTAACAAATTACTGGTCAATTTTCTATTATCTTTTCTTTTGAAATTTATTGTTGAATCTGTTGCCGAAAGAATTTCATTGCTGTTCTTTGACTTATATCAAAAGTAAAAACAGTTTTGTAGACTGTTATATTCACATCAACAAATTTTTGTCATTTCATCGGATAACTTTAGAACTTTTTTAAGTTGCAATAATTTTTTTTTTTCGGAAGCTAAATTCTTCTTCTTTCTTTTTCTTATAGTCAACAAAACTAACTACAAAACCATTTTGACATTACTGGAACACTTACAATAGTTGTGCACAATAAAAGTTACATTGATCAGTGGTAAACAGTTGTGTGAACAATCTGACAAATCTGACAAACAAACAGATCTCCAGTTCGGTTTTTCATTTTTAACTATCAATTTTGTTTATCAATTATCAACATACCAAAGATTATACAGAGGATTAATTTGACATTGTTTTCAATTGTTTTCTTTAGAATCTCATTATTGATGACAGCAGACAATGGAGAAGGAGGAAAAAAAACTAAGATAAAAATTTACAAAAAAAAAGCAATGAACTTGTTGAAAATTTGATCATATCAATTGAAGAATTGTTCAACTGAACAATTCTTCTTATTCAATACAACATATTTTTATTTGTCTACTGATAATTTGGTTATTCAAAATATTTAGAAAAACGAAAAAAATTTTTTTTTCTTTCTTTTGTTAACTACCAAATTTAAAACATTGTTGTATCTGACTCTGATATACATATATCCGATCAGTTAATTTATACAATTTATAAATAAAATACTGTATCAAAAATATTGAGATACTTAAAAAAGTGTTAAACCTATAAAAACAGTGAAATGAATAAAAAATTTCTCTTAATTGTTTTTATCAAAATTAACTGATTTTATCCACAGAACATTTCTTCGCATTTTTGCATCCAACTAATGCTCATTTTTAATGATGTTCTGTGTTGACCATCAGATTTGGCAATAATCGGATCATAAAGCAAAACTTAACAAACAACAATGCCAAATTTGTGTTTTGTTTAAAGGATGACATTTTCAAAAAATGTTTACAAAAAGATAGTCTAAAAAT